TGTTAAAGTTATAAAAGTAGTACTGTTTTAATGTAAGTGTACATAGTACAAATAGTAGTACAATATAAATATCAGTAATCAAGATTGAAAACTAAAATGAGCTATACACAAAATAATTCTAGTCTTTTGTCTTCTGAAAAGAAAAACAATTCATGAATTTTGTGTTTATGAATAAAGTTTTTTTTAACAAGGAAAAAAAATAGAAGTGCAAAACAAAGTTTTAGCAGTAGTCTAGGTGGGATGTAGGGCACATTACACAAGGAGACGTATTTAAGACACCTGACTTCAACAAAAACAAGGGAAATATTTAAGTGAGTGAAATAAAATTCTCTTCCTAATGAAGATTATCTTTCATGAATGAAGATGATGGATTCTTACTGACAAATATTGCTGGGCTGTGTCACTATTGGGCCTGCCATGAAAATATACAATTAGAAGTAATTCTTCAGGAAAAAGAAAATGGTTTAATAAAAATGTGAAAAGGCTGTGGTGAATAAGGAGCACCAGAAAGAATAAATAGGTAGATGAGTAGAAATGAATATTGACTTCGGTTGATTTCCACAAGGCTGAAGCCTCCTGAGGCCCAGCAGTTTCTCTGGTGCAGTCACCTGAACCATGGTCATGCTCCACCCTGGGTGTTCTTTCCTGTCTCAATGTATCAGGCTTATCTTCTCAGAAACAAATGAACAGGCAATATAAGGCACTTTGCTCCTAAAGCCTCGCCTTCTTTTTCTACTTTTTCTCTAAATGCTCTGACTCAAAGCTATACTCACTTGATTAAACCTATGTTCCCCAGTCTTCCCTTGCAGGGCCCAGATCCCTGATTCCTGAAACAGTACATGCTGTGTTTAGTCTTCTCCCCACAACCCAAGGTTGACTTTTCTGTCTTTTCTTTGTCCCTACACTATTTTTGCCTCTCATGACTTTGGTGAGGTAATTTTTTCACATTCTCTTGGTCTGACTGTACATGGTCCATTTAGGCTGTAATTTTTTTGCCATAATTTTATTGATAAACAAATAGCAATGAGACAGTTTCAAATCAAATTGGTAAGACAGTTTCAGTAATTAACACACTGCATACATTCTTCCTAGTGGTTAATTGCTGTACAAGATGCAGACTTGAGATCCTATTTACAAACACCATTAGAACAAATCACTCTATTCATTAAGAGAATGTAACTATATATCTATCCTAACCACTTTGAATACACAGATACAAAATGGACATTCATCTGTATTCCCTTTTTTTGTTAAGTTCCATCATTTAAATAAATATTATAGGTGTGTAAACTCAGCAAAATATTCTAAAAGAGTTCAGTAGCCTATAATGGTATTGGGTCTTCCGCTTGACTGGCAGTGTCAGAAATTGTTGACCTGAGTCCCCTACAGCTCAACATAACACCATGGCTTTACTTATTATATGTTGTTTTTATACTTTTCTGCTGGATGGTTAAGACCAAGGTAAAGCAGGACCTATGCAACAAGAGTTGCAGCTTTTGGTCAGATAAGGTCAGTGAAATCCCCTCAGGATTTATCCTGAGATCCTATACCTCAGATTGTAGAACCTTTGTCAGTGTCAGCCGTGTAGGCTGCAGTTTTAACTTCACCATGTAGGACTTATACTTTATTGTTATTATTTTTAATTTTTAATTTCTTAAGGAGTACAAAATAATATTAAAATGAAAAAGTTAAGGTAATACAGAACTTCACATAACAA